AAATATACAAATATGTCTATATAAATAAATATATATACATATTTATATATATATATCTATTTTTCTATATATATATTCATATATATATATATATTTTTATATCTTTATATAAATATATATATATGTACATATTTAAACATCTATATATATATACATATTTTAACATCTATATATATATGTACATATTTTAACATCTATATATATTATATATTTATATATATATTAATATATATATACATATATATATATATATATATATATTTATATATATATATATATATATATATATATATATATAGATATATGTATCCATATGTATATATACATATATTTATATATATATTAATAAATATATATATATATATATATATATATATGTTTATATATATCTTTATATATATATACATATATATACATCTTTATATATATATATATATATAGATATATGTATCCATATGTATATATACATATATTTATATATATATTAATAAATATATATATATATATATATATGTTTATATATATCTTTATATATATATACATATATATACATCTTTATATATATATATATATATAATATATAATATATATATATATATATATATATATATATAAGATGTATATTATGTATATATATATAAAATATATATCAAACATATATATATATATATATATATTTATTATATATATATTAGATGTAATATACATATGGATACATATATCTATTATATAATAATTATATAGGATGTATATATATGTATATATATATAAAGAGAATATAAACATATATATATATATTATATAATCTATTTATTATATAATATATAATATATGTATATATACCTATGAATATATATCTATATATTAGTATATATATATATACTATACTATATATAAATATAATCATATATATGTATTAATGTTAATATATATTAATATATATATAAATATATAATATATATAGATGTTTAAATATGTATTTATATATAGATGTTTTTTAAACAATTATGTATATATATAAGATGTTTAAATATGTACATATATATAGATTTTATATAAAGATATAAAATATATATATAATATGAATATATAATATGAAAAATAGATATATTATATAAATATGTATATATATTATTTATATAGACTATTTTGGTATATTTATATATATATCTAAATAAATTATATATATATTTATTTATAAAAATAATATAAGTATATATGAATATATATTTATGTATATATAAAAATACATGTATAAATATCATATATATATTTGTAAAATATATAGATATAGTATAAATATATATATATATATATACAAAAAATATGTATAATATATAAAATATAGAAAAAAGTATAAAAGAGAAGGAAAAGAATATCTTCAACATATAGATGCATCACTTTGTCAACATGAATCTGTTTATATATATTGTATATAGTATATATGTAATTAAATATATATACACTATACATTTATATCTATAATATATATATAATATATATATTATATATTTCGAGGATATATATATTATACTATTTATATATATAGGTATTTAACAACGAATATAAAAATCATATATTTATATATATATAATATATATATATATACATGATACACATAGGTTTTATAAATAGATATTTAAAATATATATAATATACATATGTCTATACTATATATTTATTGATAATATATGTATATTATATATATATATTTATATTAGATATATATATATATTATGTAAATGCATATATATATGTTATGAATATATATATATATATATATATATTATATCTATAATAATATATACATATATATTACATATGCAGATATATATATAATATATATATATATATATATATATATATAGGTATTTAGAAACATATAAAATAGCTATATTTAATATATATACATGAATACACATATGTTTATAAATAGAATATTGAGAAAATATATATATGTCCGATATATCTATATTTATTTATATATATATGTCTATATATATACATATATATATAAATAATATATTTATATATATATAAATATCTATATAATTCATATATAGTAGATATATATTGATAATATATCTATGAAAATGTATATATTTATGTATTATATATATATGATAATATATATATAAATGTATTATCTTTAATACCTATATGTATATATTTATTTGTATATATATGTCAAAATATTTCTAAAGAAATTATGTAAATTACTTTATGTATAAATATATATAGGAGAAATATAATATATGTGTAAATATATATAATGAAATATATTATATATAACTATATGTATATCTATGTCGTCTAATACATATATATATATATATATTCATTTTGAATTTTATAAAATTAATCTATCTATACATATATAATAAGAGAGAGAGTGAACGTTATAAATATATTTTATAACATGTAAGAAATATGTTATATATGAATATTGTGTATGTTTTATTATATATATATAAATATTATATATAATATATAGATTATATATAATCTATATATAATATGAAATATAAATTAATAAAATGTAATGGCTACTTATATACATATGTAGATAATAGATATAATATATTCAACAAATATATATATATATATATATCTAGATAATATAATATATAAGTTAGTATAATGCATATATATATATATATATATATATAAATATAGATATAAATATACAGTGTATATATATGTGTGTGTGTGTGGGGGGTTTTTTATATGTATATATATAATATATATATATATATATATATATATATATCTATATGTATATATATATATATATATACAGATATGCATATGTGTGTGCATGTGTATAATAATTATATATATATATTATATATATAATATATATCATATATATCTTATATTCCATATCTATTACATTTATATATTATTATCTAAATCTTTGTATTTATATATATTCAAACTATATGATCAAATGTATATTTTATAATAAATTTTATGCATCTAATAAATATAATATATTATATATGTAAATATATATATAATAATATATATCTATATATATATATACATATTATAATGCATATATTAAATAGATATAAAAATAAAGATTAGTATATTTATACATATATATATATATCTATATTATATATTAATTATAATATATATATATATAATAAATATATATGTTTTATGCATAAATATATTTCATATTATGAATATATATATATATATTCTATGTATATATATATATATGTAAATATATATGTTTATGCATAAATATATGTATATATAATATCTATATATATAAATATAATTTTATATATATATATAATATATTTTTAAGGCCATATAAATATATATATATATATATATTATATATATAATATGTAATTATTGTATATATATTATATATATATTTTATAATATATATGCATATAATCTATTATGTTATATATATATATATTTATCAAGTTTGAATATATATATACAAATATATATAAAAGATAAATAATATATAGAAAAAGAATCTATTATATATTTATGTAATATATATATATATTTATACATAAGTATATATATGTATATTATATTATATACATATATGTATAAATTGATATAAAAAAATAATATTATATATATATATATATATATGTCTATATATATGTTTTGAATTATATATAAATGTATAACTATATATAAATATATATATTGTATTATATATATATAGATATATATAAAATAATGATATATTATGAATTATATATCTATCTTATATATATAATAGAAAAAGAATATATATATGAATATAGATTATCTATTATATATATATATAATATATATTATGTGTTTGTGTGTGTTGTGGTGTAAACGGCTGTATATATATTATAAAATACATATGATTATAAATATTATAGTGAATATATAAATATATACCTTATATATTAATGTTATATATATTTGTTTCCTTTTCTTGCTTAACATTTTTTGCTCTCTTGTCGTTTTGCAATGTCTGTATTTGTCCCTTTGAATAGGCTATATTGAGTGGTGATAGTTGTTTTCCTTGCGGACCTCCACATCATAACCTGTCTTTTCTTTCCGTTATGCCTGTCATTGTAGGGCAGGAGTAGATCTTGTCATATCCTTAGTATCCCCAGTGAACGAGTGCTCCCCAGCCACGTCTCACGGATCGTACAGCGCATAATATTAATAATCTAATCATTATAAGCAAGTAATAAATAACAACAACAATAATAATAAGTGAATAATAATAATCATAATAATGTAATAATAAGCGAATAATAATTAATAATAATATTAATACGGGAATGATAAATCTATATAATTACACATTCTGGCTTTTAATATTGGAATAAATGAGGCGAATGATATCGCATTTATGCGATTTCTCTCTCTCTCCTTTATAATTATATATATATATAATATATTATTATATATATATATATTGAGCACGTACCATAGCCGTTTAATCAACTAGAATTACAATCAGCGTGACGGATATCACCATTTTCACTTTCCTTCCTTATAGGGGCAGAGGAAAAGCAGGGGGAAGCTGGCACTGCGATAATCCTGGACTCGAAGCTGCATTACTGTGCAAGGACACCCATGCGTGGTCGATAAGCAGTCTGAAGGTAAGCGTTATTATAAGCATTACAATTATTACTATAAGCATTATCATTATTATTATAAGCACTATTATTTTATTTATAATTATTATTATAAGCGATAGTAGTAGTAGTAGTAATAATTATAAGCATCATTATTTAATTATTAGTAGTATTAGAATTATAAGTATTATTATTATATCCTTATCTTACCAATATAGACATTTTTATATATAATAATTATTATTATTATTATAAGCATCATTATTATAATTTTTATAAGCATTATTATAATAATAAATAATTGTTATTCTGATATACATTATTTTTATCATTATAAGCAATATTATTTTATTATTATAAACATCATCAATAAGCATTATTTATATGAGTTTTACT